GCCCACGATGCACCGCGCATGCCATCTGCCTTATGCTACACGACATCGACCGCCCTCAGACCGAAAGTAACCCGTCCCTTAGCCTCATTGCACCTTTGCCCCTGAAACCTTGCCACAAGAGATCTCAGTTATGACCTGGGACTCCACCCCCAATTTCCCAAAAATCCTTGGCACACTCCTTCTCGCATTTCCAGGCCCACATCCTACTCCGATCAGGAAGTCGCGTCGGGCGTGAGGTTGGGCGTCACAACGGGACCATTACGGCTGATCGACGGCATACCACTTTTCATTTGCGCACCCCAGAAGGCGAGGAGGAAGCGTTCCTACCAGTCAATCATCAGCAGCTTTGAGAAGGCCTGCCAGGAGAACTTACCCTTAAAATGAACAGATGAAGGGCTAGGCTGCTGGACTTGTCTGGGCACCGCCGTCGAGATCGAACGTCATCCTCCAAGGGTAACTTGCAGGCATCTGGCTAAGAAACACGGACAGATGTGGCTTATCGGGCAAGGTCTGACGTTCACTACTCTGCAGGACTATAGCTCCTTGGGCCCAAAGAGACAAAAAACCACTGTCATTGCGAGTGCACTACATCGGATCCGTAGCAACACAATGGGCACAGATAGAGCCGAGCTGGCGCTTCTGCCACCGAAAAGGCAGCCGAGAAAACAAGATTATCCTGAGAGGAGCAAGGGTTTAGGGGTTTAGGGATTTACCCCACGAAGGCAAAGTATGTATGCAGCAAACATGATCAAAGAATCCATCCATCTGTCCCACATGTCACAGGAAATACAGCACTGGTTTGGTCATTAAAGCACTGGCAGTACATGGGCACCTGGGCTGCAGGCCTGACACCTCAAAATCTGAAGGCGCGAAACGAAACCGCGACTGCCGATCTAATTTATCAACGGCGGGCACGAGGTTTTGACGTTTCGACCTCGTTTCCTTGTGGCTACAAGTTTCGGACTGCAAAGTTGGGGCCGTGTACTCGTGGTTTAAGATCTGGCACCACAAAGAGAGGTGAAGAGGTGTTGTATGGGTCCGGAATAGCTAAATACAATCACGTTCTCTCAGACACCACAGACATCAACGATATGCACTTCATGTACTCATGAATTCATGTACTCAAGGGACACTGGACTCGACTTCCAGCAGGTGCTGCTCCCCAGCAATAAATGGAGGGTTAAAAAAAAAAAAAAAAAAAAAAAAAAGGTAGTTTAATCGGGCCTATCAGTGAATTCAGTGCAAAAACATGTGCAGGAGTTGGAGTTGGTTGGATTGCTGCACAAGCTGTGCTGGTAGCTGGCGAGGCAAGCACTCACACTCTCAAGTGCTGACAACAGGACAAGCAGCAAGATATCAGTTTCAGCGTTGGTCACCGACTCACCGGCAGCGTGCTCTCGTTTTGTCTTTTTTGTACGCTCGTCCCACAGGGATCGGCGAAGCAGCAATCGCACCATCACGCCATGTACCTCGCCTTTTTTGAAAGTAAGATACACGCCAGAATATCTGACTGTTTCAAGCGTAGTGCCAGGATGAAAGGACGCTGAGTTACCTCCGGTATGCAATGGCTGTGTTTCTAGTATATTAGGGTTTAGGGTTTTCCTCCTTTCGACCTAAGTGAAATGTGCTAGTACTCTTTTCGAAGCGCTCTGTGTTCACACTGTCTCAATCATCATTACGTGCGCTTGCCCACGGCATGTCTGTTCTCTCTCAGTCGCTCACCAAGTGTGTATGGTGTCTGCACTTTAAGTTCCGAGTCGGTTAGACTCGTGTCAATAGCAGTCGACATTGTGATAAGGGCTGCT